CTGGGATACTGGGATAGGAGATCCAGCCTGCACAGGCACCAATAAAATACTATGGCTTTCAAACTGATATCCTGATATTCCAGAGAACCAAAAGGTCACTTTCACTATAAATTTAACTTATTAAGATGTCTTCCCATATGCTAATGTTTTAGAGCAATTTTATTAAATATGAGAATGTCGCCCTTATTTCAGCAATGAGCAGCACTAAATGAAGATATATTTCCCATGAGCTCCTAGCCTCTTTGATTCCATCAGATATTCTCAGCTGAACCTAAATTAACCTGTAAATGAACTAATTTGCATCCGTAAATCCACAAAAATATACCAATGTACAATGTTAAAGATACTCAGTCTCCGTTTCTCAATCTCATACAGTTCTCTTGTTAAACTACAATATGATCTTTCCTACAAACCACTTCCTCTTTATTGAAACAGGAAAAAAGGAAGACCTAAACCACCTATGCTAGATATTCCCTTAGCTAGTTACCATGACATAGAAAGAAAAGAATCTTTGATATGTTTATCTTTCTTAGATTAAAAAACCAACCACTGCTTACAAAGGTAACATAAACACTTAAGTTTAAAGCTGGGCATGGTGGTGCACATCTGTAATCCCAGCACTGGGGAGGCTAAGGCAGGAGGATCACCTGAATTTGAGGCCTGCCTGGGCTACATAGTGAGTTCAAGGCCAGACCGAACTACACAGTGAGACCCTGCCTAAAATCCAAATTTTTCTCTAGGTCTCTAACTGAAACCACTGCCTAGAATACACTGCAAATAATCCAGTTAAGCTTCTGAAGTTTGTTTGTTTGTCTTTGAGACAGGGTCTCACTTTGTAGCTCCCAGGCTAACCTAGAACTCCTGGTGATCCTCTTGCTTCAGCCTCCTAAAAACTGGGATTACAGCTATGTGCCACCATGCTCAGCTTCTAAGATTTGTTTAAAGGACAGTTTATCATCTTTCCAAAATGTACACCACCAAGGCAACATCCACATTGGATACATGCGCCACAGGACAAGGGTTGGTCCTATATCATTTCTTTTCCCTCCACTCAGCACCATACCTTGTAAAGGTGGAGCATTTAATAAGCTGAGCACAGATGAGGACCATGACAACACCTCTGGCAATCATGGAATAAACAGAACACATAAACCAGGCATGGTGGTACACACCTATAATCCCAGCACTTGGGACACAACGCCAGCCTGGACTACATAGTAAGACCCTCTTACAACTGCTCCCCCAACCAAAAACAATACATAATGCCCACAGCCACCAGATGAACTGATCTGAACTGAATTACATCCCTCTTTTTTTTTTCTGTCTTTTTGAGACAGGGTCTCACTATGCAGTTCAGGCTGGCCTTGAGCTCACTCTGTAGCACAAGCTGGCCTCAAACTCGCAACGATCCTCCTGCCTCAGCCTCCCAAGTGCTGGGATTGAAGGCATGTGCCACCACACCCAATTTACATCTTCTCTTAAAACTCATTTTCCTCTTTGTACCATGAGAATAATAGAATACACTCACAAGATTGTTCTTATTTGTTTAATATCTATTCCCAAATAAGTACTGAGCATTAATCATGTGTCAGGCACGGTGCTAGGGATGCAGCAGTAAACCTGACTGTAACACCCTGCATCATGGAGCCAGTTTCAGAGGACACTGAGACTCACAGGAAAAGGGAATTTTACAAACTTCAAAAGACTACCCTAACACAAAGTACCACTCTCTTCTCTTTCTCAACTTGGGTTACTGGATCACCATCCACTCAGTTACCCAAGCTATTAACTTAGACTCTTCCTCCTTCTCTCTTTCCTCCTGCCCACTTCCACAATTCCAATAAAAAAGTCCCTGGTTTTCCCTTCGAAGTTTCTGACATGTATTAATTTCTTTTCCAGTATTCCACGCTTCTGTTCTAGACCCTTTGTTCCCACCTAAATAACTTTAAGTCTCCCCATAATGACAATAATGGCAAGCATTTATTCAGCTCTTACCATATGGCAGGCAATTGGCTAAGACCTCTGCATACAAATTTTTAATCCTGTAAGGCAGATACTGTGACCCTGACCTACAGCAGAACTGAGGCAAAGAAACTTGCCCCAGGCACACAGCTGGAAAGTAACAAAATCACAGCTCTAGTCCTAGGCCCAGAGATTCTATTCTTAGCCCTTACTGGGCTCCTGCCTCCTGGTCAGTGTACATACCTTTGTTTATGCTATTGCTAGAATGCTCTTTCAAAAATCCAAGCAGAGTGACTCACTGAACACGGTGGTGCACCCCTGTAATGCTAGTAGTTGGAGGGCTGAGGCAGGAGGACTGCCACGGGTTCAAGACCAGCCTGGGCCACATAGTGAGTTCAACATCAGCCTGAACTGAAGAGCAAAACTCTATCTCCAAAACAAACAAACAAACAAACAATCCAAGTGGATATTTCTCTCTGCTTTCAAAGACAGCTCTTTGCTCCTCATCATCTCCAGGGCAGCAAGGTCCGAAGACTACAAGCCACTCTCCAGCGTTACTTATCTCCTGTCCCACACTGGAAGATACTCTCACTGCTCCCCAAACACACCAAAAATCTGACTGCCCCACATTATTCTCCGCCCTCTGCAAAGCCCTTCCCCCGCTACCCTCTAGACAGGATCCTCCTCTTTGGGCCTCAGGTACACCCTCATGCTTCAGTGCTGACAGTAATAATTATTCCTCCACCAACCCCTTCCTTCACATTTCCAATCCTGACTTCCTAAAGGTAAACATGGTATCTTATCTCTGATGTTCAAGGTTCTAGCAGAGTGGTGGGTCTATAAGTAGATCAAGTAAATGTTAAGTATAAAGTGGTGCTAATACCTTCCGGCACCACCCCACTCCAAAAACAAGAGGACGATAGTAAGGGCAGCTTATAGCAGCTCCCCATCATCCTAGGCAGACTCAAGAAGACAGAATACTTCAAGCAAAGTTATTTCAACTGAGATTGGTACTCCAATCTCAGTCTGCTGCGGCCTCTCTCCAAGCCTCTTGAAAGCCAATTCAATCACCTGTACACCTGCAGAAACTACAGGACAACTGCCCCCTGGGATGGGCGGAGGTAAGCTGACATCCTCCTCTACCACCCTGCACTGGGGCAAGCTTCCAAAATGCACACTGGTAAAAACCTTGACTCTAATTACCAGTGAATAATAGAGGATCCTCATTGAGAGTCAGCAGAGAAAAAAGCTATAGACAGCAAAATACAGCCCTGCTTTCCATCTCCACTGCTCAACTGGAGTCCAGGCCATAGATGGAGGCCTGCAACTGCTTGCTCATTTACTGGTCCCCCTGCTCCCACCACCTCTCCAAAGAACAGCCAGATGATGTTCTGAAACTCTATCAATGATAGAACACACCCGGGTATAACACCCTCCGAAAGCACTCAATCCGCTTAAGAATCCAAAACTTTTTATCAAAAAGTTCAAGATCCAACCCCTTGCCCCACTTCACCTACTCTTCCTTTAACCACTACATCCCAGAAATGAAACTCTTTCTGTTTCTTCAACCTGGTCAACTTCCAGGCCTTTTCCTATGTTGTTCTCCCTGCCTGAAAGGCTCCTCCCCAGTTTTTAAAGACTTGGTTCCTTCTCAAAGCTCAGTTCAAACTTTACCTTTCCAAAGAGGCCTTTTCTGACCACGCTGTGCAAAGTGGCATCCCTCAAACCCATCAGTCCCTGTCAGGTCATCTTTTTGTTTGTTTAATACTTATCACCAGCATCTCCAAAATGAGTATTTTTTTCATTTATTGTTCTGTTTCTGTCTTGCCCCTATGACTATAGCTGGATGCACTAAGCACTCAAAAAGAATTTCCAAAAAATTCTCAAAAAGGATCTCCAAAAAAATTTCCAAAAAATAGTTCTGACTATTAGCAGAGAAGTATCCTTGAGACAGGCTATTTCTGGACCAAAGAAAAACATCTATTAGTCCTTACTATGTGCTGGGCACTGTAAATCCATAATCTTCCTTTCAGATGGAAAACTGACTACCTCAAGGTCACAGGGCAGACTTCACTAGGAGACTTCCGAGTTAAATACTTGACTGCTAAACCCCTCTCAGCTTTACCCCCTATCAAGGGGAGGACTGTCATTCTATGATTCACTCTCACATTGCCATGACTTAAGCAAGCATTTCTAAAATGTTGCTTTATGGTTATTAAAGCATTTTCACTTTCATCTTACAAATACAAAGCACTTGCTCAGAAAGTCATACAACAGGAAGTAAAGGTCCCTCAAGGATCAAACCCAGGAGCAGGGAACCGGGAGGAGTCCTGCCAATGGAGTCCATAGTTCGGGTTAACGAGGAATGGGGAAGCGGTGAGTCACAGGTGAAGGCTTGCAACATGGGAAACTCTTGCTAAGGCCAGGTATGAGGCAACAAAAAGCGAACCACAAAACTTGAAAACACCTTAGGCTTCATAAAGAGCAAATCCTACCACAAGGATGGGGGAAACGTAAGCCTCAAAAGGAAAGCCACTTGCTCGAGTTCACTCAGCAAGTGAGCAGAGCGGGAACAGGGGTCCCTCTCCCCGCTCTTCTCTTTTCTTCCGTCGGGGAGGCTTTTCCAGGAGGCGCCTGCGTCAGGGGCGGGGGAGAGCCAGGGGCGGCTCAGACTCCACAGGAACCGGGAGAGAGCCAGGGTGGGACCAGGAAGCACGGAAATGTCAAGATGAGGGGCAGAAAGGAGCCTAGGAGAGGACAGAGGCGGCGGCTGCGAACGTGGGTGAGGCCGAGAGCGGAGAAAAAGGCGGAAGAAAAAAGGTGCAGGGAGAGAACGAAGCCGTCTGGAGCGGCCCGGCAGTGGGGGGACCCTGCGGGGAAAGAGACACTCGAAAGAGTCCGAGACGCGGGGCAGACACCGCACGGGAGAAGGGGAGGGGCCCGGCCTCGGAACGGCGGGGAGCGCCGTCGGGGCGGACGCGGAGCCCCGTCAGCGGGGAGTTGGGGGGGGGGAGCCCGACGGCGCCCAGCCGCCTCACCGCGCTTGTTTTTGGTGCCGTGCTTCTTGGCGGCCGTCAGTTCCTGCTCAATCTTCTTCTCCAGGAACTCCTGCTTCTTGCTGAGCATCTCCTCCGTGTCCCGCAGCCGCTGGATGGCCTCCTGGGGGGTCGGGCCGCCCTTGCCGGCCTTACCCCCACCAGCCCCGAACAGCTTCCCGAACACCGACATGGTTTCTGCTCGCCGCGCCGGCCT